TGCAGAAGCTGCTGTATAGGGTTCCTTCCCTCTGACCGTTCAAACCTCAATTTCTGTTTGACGTTGTAGATGTGTCTTCGGTTTGGCTGGTCTTCGGGGAATTTCTCTAACACAGACGCTAATATTTTAGCGGGCTTCACTTGAGCATCACTCATTTCTTTTACAACTAGTTTCGCAGCTGGACTTAGGCCGCTTAACTGCCGATGCCCACTTTGTATGCTATCAGCTCATGGTTGTGATATCCCCATTTGCCGTAACCCTTCACTTCCCAACCGTCACGCCTTTGATGTTGTCGAACCTTAACTCGGAACTGACACCCACAACCTTTCCGCTTTGAGTCAAACCGAATCGCTTTACTGAAATCTCGTTCTTCTCTTTTGCGATAACGGTCGCATCTCAAAATGCGATCCATTCTACCATCCCGTTGAGATTTATGAGTTGCTACTACTAAACAAAAGCCTGATCTAATTGCAACCTGTTTTGCCCAATCAATCGCTTGTTGAGCATCTTCGAACAGGCCATCATGTACAAAAATCCCACTGTAATCATTTCCGTCTCCACCATAATCCTGTAACAATAACATATAACGTATAAATATAATTACATTAAGATTAAATTAACAAAAACAAACAAAAAAAAAAAAGGGGATTAAAAAAAAAATAAAAAAAAAAAATATTCCCCTACTGGCGCCTGGCCAGGACGCCGGAGCCACGGCCGGGGCGCCTGGTCAGGACGCCGCCGCCATGGTGGCGGCGTGCTGGCCAGGCGCCTTGGCCGTGGCTGCGGCGTCCTGGCCACGCGCCACTACTATGGTCGAGGCTTCTCCACCAGGCGCCGTGACCACGGTGGCGGCGTCCTGGCTAGGCGCCACAACCACGGCATGGCCTTTTGGCTAGGCGCCAGCCACCATTTCGTCCTTACGATGCGTTACGAACCTCGTTTTCCGATGACGACGGCGATTCTCCGGTGATCCTCGGCGATCCGGTGCTGCTCCACATTTTTTTAGTGCGAAAAATTTATCTTCCGTTAAAATTATAAAAAGGGCAAATTTGTCAAAAAATTATAAAATGTGGGCTTTATGTAGAGATTTGCGGGCGATGAATAACAAGTCCCTTGAAATTAGCCTTGTTGTCTCTCTCAAGGAATCACCAAGTGCAGAAGATGTTATATTTAATTCAATACATGTCTTTTGATTGGTGCAGGAGATAATAACTAATTTCCTTGATAAACCTTCTATACATATCACAGTAAGTGTAGGAGAGAGGGGATCATCTTGTCTAAACCTCCTAATAGAGGGGAATACGTAACGTAGTCATATTAATAAAATTACGGAGAGAGGGGATCACCTTATTGTCTAAACCTCTTAATAGAGGGGAATACGAAAAGTAGTCATATTAATAAAACTACGTAACTAGATAATATGTAATTGTAGTAATACAAGTATTAATCCAAAACATCAAAAGTTTCAACAGTTTTCTAAAGGAAATCTCATTCTAATATATTTAATCAATGAGTTGCTTGTAATTGTAGTTGTGAAATAGGAAAAGGTGTAAACAACTTAATACCTAAGATCGATTATGATGAGGAAACCATACCTATAAATAAGATTTATTTCCTTTTATTATTGAGAAGTAAAATACAGATTGTATAAATTTAAATTTTTATAATGTGAGAATATTATAAAGCTTCCCCTCGGATCCATCTCTTAAACATGAAGGCACATTGCTTTGGCTTGTACTCGGGAGCAGTATGTCCAGCTCCCTATACAAAAGAGAGAAATATTTGCTATATAAATTCATTTTCATTGCATTCAATTATGTAATACTCCGTAATCAATGAAAGTTAGTTACATCAACTAACCTTAACGGTGGCAAATGTCATTCTATTAGCATATGTCCTTGTAAAGCTACATAAAAAGGGCGAATTAATGTATGACAATGCATAAAAATTATATTTATCACGAAATATGTACAAAATAACATATTTTTGAGCGAAAAAAATAATCAAATAACGAAAGAGATTAGTATCAAGAAAGGCATAAATCCCTAAAAGGAATTCTCAATTTATCTAGTCCTTCATATTTTTCTAAGTTTGAATTCTTTTATAATAGAAAGTAGGTCATAGAAAATGAAGTTTGAAAGTGACAAACATAAAGTTTTCTTTGTTATGTACTCCGTACTATGAATGAAGAATTGGTAATTATTAAGAAATGGCATGTACTAAACAACATTATTTAACAAAAGTATTTAAATAAAAGCTTGCATCTTAATTATATGTGGAATTATTTCATCTATATATTTACTTAAGCATGGAATCTTTCAAGATATTTAGGAATTATTTATACATTAAACTTGTAATTAAATGTGCATATTTCTTTATAGTAAGATTCTAAATGTATTTAACAAAGAATTTGTATGAAACTCTTTATTTGATTAAAATAAAATTCTTAATGTTAAGATGGTCGAATAACTAGAAACATATTAGCTAAACTCTTTATTTTATACCAATCATTTGTGGTGGAAGGAATACATACCTTTTGGTTTTCTTATTTTCATAAAATAATACTTCCTCCGTTTCTATTTAGTTGACACGTTTAATTTTGGCACATATATTAAGGAGAGGAGAGATAATGATAAAGTAAGTGGGGTACACTAAAAAAAACAAGGTACAAATCTTAGTCAACTAAAAATTAACTTCCTAAAAAAAATACGTGTCAACTAAAAAAACGGAGGTAAGTAAATCATTAGGTAATTTACTCAAACTAATGTGTTAATTATTCTGAAAAGCAAAAGGTATACTTTATAAACAAAATCTTCAATTCTAAATTATAACATGCATCTCATGGATATAAGTTGCACTTGTACTACCTCCTTATTTGAATCAAATGGTAAGCCAATTGACAAATAGTTTTTGATATATAACTTGGATATTTTTATAACAGTCGTTTGAAATATGACTATCTTATTATTTCAATGATAAGTAATATGACCTGTTCATTTTTTACATTGTAATATGGACACAATTAGTCTTCTAATATCTAATATGCAAATATAATTTTTTAAAATTTTAATCTAACATAAAATATTTTTTTTTTTCAAGAAACTATAAAATAATAATAAAAATTACATAAATGCAACTAAAATTTTGATAAATAAAAAAAATGTTGATAATACAATATTATACCAAAAATAATTAGTAATATAAATTATTACTTAGAGAAATATATGTCAATTATGATGTACATAATCATTAAAATATTATGATAGTCATAATTCAAACGACTACTACAAAATTTTCAAACTTTTGCACTACAAAAGATTAAGGTGAAAAAAAGGAAAAGAGAGAGAGAGAATGATGAAAACTTGCAACAACTTACCCGGCTATTTGGCTATCAACTAGCCATTTTCTCCAATCGTCAATAATTGAGTAATTCAAAGATCTTATCCATGCTTGCGTTCCCAGGAATGGGACAATCATGTCATGGTCTCCACTAAGTAATAAAATTAAGAAAAATTATTACATAATAAAGGTATTTAAGCATAATATTAGGAGACCACAAATTTAAATAGTATGCAAACCTGTATATTAGTGATCGAAAGCCTTTGGCACTTATTTTCACGTGGTATGGCACACTACTTGGAACCTCATAAGAATAGTTGAATTTATAATTACATCTTATCCAATTTCCAATAGTTTCCTATAATAATTTAGTAAAATAGTTAGGACTTTATTTTTTTTGGTGTAACATGAAGATTGTATTATATGCTCATCTCATATACCTTACGAACATGAAGAGCCTTTTGAACACTCTTCTGATTCATCCAGTGTTTAGCAACTAAATATCCTTCTTTCTAAAATAAAAGGAGGTAAAACCGTGTTAGCTATCTATTATTTACAAAATCAATATTTAAAATAAGTTTAATACTAAACCCCTTATTGGGGTGGAGTAGTCGATTGTAAGTTTGTAACAAAATGCATATTTAGGATTAGTACTTGTATCCATCCACAAACAAACACAAGTTCTTCTAACGCAATTTGTCCTTTCTCACATACACCCTAGATAACTTTCATACTATCATCCATCTTTAGTAGAAGACCACCAACTAAACATGCTTAAATATGGAATATCTTGTTACGGTGTATAATATAAGCTCCTTAAAAAGAAAGGTGTAATTTGTTCAATTCAGTTGTTGGTATGAATAGTATATCAAATCTTGTTTGTATGGATATCATCGTTGGACTCGTGAACTACAGTAATTAAATTTTAGCATGTAGCTTGTTATCAAGCCCCATTATTCTCTCCTGCTAGGACACTAACTAAAGAAAATTCCCAATAGGTCACCATCCCAAGACTACCTACAACTAATAAGCGTTCTTAGATTAATTGTTGTGTCATACTCCCGATGATTATTAGAGATATAAAAGGGTTAAAATACTAGTATATATAATGTATTGACAAACGTGAAAGTCACAATATTACAAATAAAAGAAAACAGAGAAAGTATATACTTGGATAACTACCTATTCACATGTACATGATAATAACTCTAAAAAAAATGTTAAAAACTTACTCGACAAGTATAAGCACCAAGTTGTTTGAGATGAAGTAGGCTATTGACCCTATCAATCATCTTCCTTCTCTTGCTACCGGAGATTCCATGAATTCTTAGAGAATCAATATCACAATAACTCTCTAATGTCATTGTAATTTGAATTCCAAGCAGGCCCTTGCATTCACAAATTATAGATAAAATTTACTATCATCATTTAAACAAATAACATCAAAACATAGTACGAATAATTAGTGAATAAATAGAAGCATATATATTGTGCTCACCCATTCAAAGTTCTTAATATTGTTCCTACACTCTTGGTTTCTTGCATTTACCAATTGATACTGTCCTTTATAAGTTCTTTGCAATGACTAGATGAGAAAAAAAATTAATAATAAATAAGAAGACATTACAAATACAAATTAATTTGAATTTAAGTTAGTTAAAATCTAGTACTATTAAAAAAAAAAAAAAAAAACTAAAAAAAAAAAGGTAGTTAAAATTATAGGGAGCTATATCATATTACCTCATACTGCTCATCAGAAATGAGCCCCATGCCATGTGCAAAAGGGACCTGATAATTGCTATCAATAAATCTATCAGTGGCAGGATTTCCTAATATATAGCCCTGGATATGTAAATATTCAAATATGTTATTAATTTCTATTTTTTAAGGAAAAAGCATGTACTTACTCCTTTGATCAATACACACACACAGACAATAAAAAAAATAAAAAATCCTCCATTCCATGTATTTTGCTTTTATAATATGTGTTCCCTCCATCTCATAATGTTAGTCCCATATATAATCCATCACATAAAATAAATAAAAAATGAATATTTGGAATCGAATATTAAAGTACAAAATTATTCATAATTAGTTTACCTTATTTAAGGTTCTTTTTTTTTATTTATGGAAAAGCATAAGTCATAATGCATAATTCAAGGTAGAGATTACCTTACTTAAAACCATGTCATCAATCCACAACCAATTAATTCCAAAAAAATTAAGTTAAAAATGGAATATATTTAATATGGGTAGATCTTTTTAAAACGCCGAAAATAGTATATGAGACTAACATTATGAAACGGAGGGAGTAATATAATATTACTTAAATGAAATCATACATTGGCAAACCTGAATGGTCAAAATGAAACAACTAAATAAAGTAGAAAAGATATAATTTTATAAGAAATTAGGTTAAGAAAAAAAGATATCTATAATACTTTTTTGTTATTTCCATTTTGAGAATTGTTGAAGTATATCTTACCAAATAACACATGTAAGTGTCTCATATTGAGAAAAGAAAGGGAGAGTTAAACACTTAATAAGGCTAAGGAGCTACTCCTCCTATTGCTATATGATTTTGGATGGAACCTCCTTTGGACTTGTGAAGTGAACTTTTTCTCTTGGTTTGCGGGTGCGGCCCACACCCATATTTAACATGGTATCAGAGTCAGGCCCACGGTATGGGACCTCTAATGGCTTGAGTATATAGTCAGGCCCAAAGTTTGGGACCTTTAATGACATAAAGTATTTTGGGCCAAATTGAATTGGATCAAGTGATCCTTGAGTTAAAGGGACCTTACATGTGAGGGGGAGTGTTGAAATATATCCTACCAAATAACACATGTAAGTGTCCCACATTGAGAAAAGAAAGGGAGTATAAGGTTAACGAGCTAATCTTCCTATTGACATATGGTTTTGGGATGAAACCTCCTTTGAACTTATGAAATGGACTCTCTCTCTCTTGATTTACGGGTGTGGCCCAAACCCGTATTTAACAAGAATCTAACTACTAGCTTGTTCATATCATTTTTTATTAACTTATAAGATGTTAGAATCTTTTATTTTGAAACTTTAAGCAAATGTATTATGTGATTAATGGTTAAATTCTCACTTTTCATTTCAAAAAACATGTGTTCAATTCATTGTAACACATATGTACATGTTAATCTTAGTACCAAGGATTTGCGAGTTGCAACTACTGCACCAGGGTAGCGGAAATAGGACAATGGTTCACCACGTTGCGCAATTATCATTTTATTCATTGAGATAAGTAATATCTGTGTTCCTTATAGTATAACAATGCTAACATATAGACATCGTTGTGGTTGTGTGGTTATAAGTGCCACGTCAAAATTTAAAATTACCAATAGGTTGGAGAATTCAAATAATATAATTGGGAAACAAAAACAATAGGTTGGAGAATTCAAATAATATAATTGGGAAACAAAAACAATAGGTTGGAGAATTCAAATAATATAATTGGGAAACAAAAAGGGAACAATAAGTATTAACCTTGAGATTTAGGAATGGTTGTGACCCTCTTTCATTATCTATGCAAGAATTAGCACGGAGAAAGTTATGTCAGCAACTAAAAATACATACCCATAAGGCCATAACCTTTATTCATATTGGAGTAACTTACCATAAACCATGTCTATAAAGTATAGTGGAAGAGTAAATCCTATGTATGAGTCACCTCCAAGGTAAAGAGGATTTGAAAGGAATTGTGGATGATTGAGCAGCCACTGCATTTGATTATAACACAAATAGATTGCTTAACATAATTGTGTTCATTAAAAAGAAATCTAGACTAGTCTAAATAATAGATCATACTTAATGCAACTTAACATGAACTATCCGGTTTGTCTCTAGAAAATTATCTTATCTAGACAATGATATTTTATAATTTCACACGAAAAGATAGGCTTAATAGAAAAACTTTTAGAGATAAAGGGAGTAACAATTTACTAAAGGAAAATTGTACAAATTTCACCTTTCTTAAAAATTGATTAATGTTATGAGATGCCTTGAAATCCCCAGAGTAATTGGCACGAGATGTTTCAGCATAAGAGAAGCCAGCACCCGCAGGAAAATCCACAAAGAGTATGCTTGCAGTCTTGGATTTCAATTGTCACAATGCAAACAAGAAAAAAATATTAATCCCTTATTAATTTTATTTTTTTTTCGCGCAAGTGCAAATTTAAATAACATATGAAAGCCAAGAGAAAATTTTATCATTTGTAGTTGGATAAAAATAAGTGATGAAAGTTTACCTTAGTCCATGCATATTGCCTCAAGAACAATTTGGGTATAGTCTCAATATTATCTACCTCTTCAAGTTGTATAGGTCCTAAACATTCAAGTTGTATATAGTTAGGCAAAATTAGATATAAATGATACTCGGTATATTTTTCATTAATAAAAGGGTCTATTTTATAGTTAATGTATAGTTTAAAAAGAGACTAATAATTTCGAAAAACCTTAATCATCTGGATTATAAAGTAAAAAGATACAAGAGAGAAGCTCATTAACGGATCTCAAAATGAAGTTGCATCCTAATCGGCAATATGATGAGTAACCCATTTAGGTTATGGAGTACCTATTTCATAGAGGATGGCAGACATTGCAGAGCAAAGAGGGCCTCCGGTTAGCCAAAGAATCACCGGATCTTGTTTTGGATTGTTTTCGGACTCAAAGAAATAGTAAAACAGTTGAACCTCTCCTTTATCCATTCCAATGTACCTGTCAAATATAACCAAAAAATTGGGCTTAAATTCCCTTAAAAGTCAAGCCCAATTTTTGGCATGTCCAGCCCAAAAACACGTGGCCCAAAATTTATAAGGCCTCAATCTAGTAAAAAAGTTAAATAAACCATAATCTAGAAAACGTTCACTTCAACATTTTATTGGAGATATATGAATTTAATTGACCTAAGTTTATAATTAGCACATGGCCTCTAATTTGATTTTGAGGGCCTTACTTATATAAACTAACTTAGTACACTATTTGTCCTACAATTATGATCATGTATACTACTTTAATATGTGTTAAATGGATGACAAATACGGGACAAAAAGAGTACTTAGATATGGAGTATTACGCGTACAATATATATATTGAATGCACTAATTAATGTTTAGCTAAAGATGACTCACCCGGTTTCAAGCGAGAAAGGAAGAGGGCCATCGAACCCGGGCAAATATTCAACGTTCTGAGAGTGAACAACAGTAGCATGAGAATTCAACAGCCAAAGAGTAAGACCCAACAGCTGCAAGATAATGAAGAAGCCAATGTTTGAAATTCTCATTGTATGTTTTTTGTTAGTTTTACAATTTGATCTTAGAGTTCTGTGAATATTTATGGTGTTTTGTAACTTTTATATACACTTGTTATTGCATTTGTTTTGTTTTAATAGAGAGTTATTTCAACTTGTATTGGGAAGGTTTAGCTTGAATTGCTAAAACTAGTAGAATTTGAAATTTGAAGCAACAACTTTGCTAACATGCGTAGAATTTGATATGGTATCGTAACAAACTTATAAGTACATTGCTCGATTATGTCATTATAAATGTAGAGTTCAATTTTGGTTGGCTTTATTATTTAAAATAAACACATGGGCTATTTTCTTTTATGACAAAAAAAACTTGCATAAGATGATTTTGGACCTTTTAAACTTTTTGGTTACTTAGCTCACTCAATAATAAAAGTTTACTTTGCCAGTTTACATAATAATGAGTTACATACAGAACATTAAGGATTCGAGAATATTGCTAAGCTATCAATCCCTTATCGTTCAATCATACCATTCACACGTACCTCAAGATATGTGATAAAGGAGATAACCTGTGGAATGTCAATACTTTACAACCACATGAGTTTTTGAGTGAAAACTAGCTACTCCCTTGATATTTAAATAAATAATCACTTTGACTGACACACATCCAATACACATTATGACCAATATTTTTTAATAAACTTTTTAAAATTTGATATTATGAAAATTTATAATGCTACTAATTTAACAAAAGTTTACTAAATAATTATAGGCGCCAAATTGTAACTCTCCAATATAAAGCATGATGGTAAAACTTACATCACCGTGAAATTTGATCCGTTATTGCGCAATAGATCATAGAGTTGCTTGAGTTTCCTCTTGTCCTAACTCTTTAGCCTTTCAAAGCCTTTTTATTCTAGCCCGTTAACCTTTTTCCATGCATATAAGCGTTATTTTTAATAAGCTTAAACCCTTAATTTGGCCCATTATTCTAAACTAACCCAATAAAACACTTTTGAACTCCAATAATATTTAAGAACTGATTGCAGCTAATTTGAGTCCCAAACGAATTAAAAATTATAAGAAAAACGAATCTGAAAGATGAAAATTAATTCGTATGGTCGTACGGATAATCACAGTTCACGTGTTGTGCGAGTCGACTAGCGTGAATCGCCACTTCTTGGACTAACGCGCCAATTAGCAGTGTTGTACGCTAGCCATCCTGGTGTAACATGTAACACTCCCAAATCTCCCTCTACGGAAATACTAGTATAATACGTATAATTATACAGTAGAGATAGACTTAGGCGTATTACCGCCGCGTGATTACGCAAGTTTACCTTAAAACTTAACTTAATAATAAACTTGCAGCGAAAAACTTAACTCTTCTTTTATTAATACTTATAAATAGAAACCATTGTTATGAGTATTCAATAATAAAGACAAAACAACCAACATCCCTAAACTAGGTGAAGTGAATCCCGGGACTCCCATATGCTCAATCATAACTACACCTGAAATAGTCAACACGGCTTACCTTTAAGGTAAACAGGGCAAACCAAAACATATAGGAAATACGAATTAGCAAAATAAGCCAAGTACATTTAAGTGCAAGATAAGTACACTCAATTTATTAGCAAACATGCTTTTAAAACCAATCTTGGAAATTCCAATATTTATTCAATCATTCCAAACCTCATAATTCCAAAACCAATTCTCAAGATTCTCAAAATAATTCCAATAACTCAATAATTCAATGATAGTGATTTATAAAATCAATTTCTCTTTTTAAAAAATCAATTCCTCTTCTAAGTGTGCACACCCACCAAGTTAGTATCTTTATATTGAAAGGCTATCTTTGAGGAAAGAGTAGGTCATACAAAGTCCATACTCTTATCAACCAAATTCGCATAGTGGGATTAATATAATCATGCTTGTAAGGCTTTAATTAATAATTCAATAATTCCTCATAAACTCATCCTTTAATTAAATCAATATATCAACCTTTATAATAGGTTAACTCAAAACTCATTTTTATTCAATTCAACATGCTTTTAAAATCAAACCCTTTTTAATCATGATAAATAATTCAAATTATCCAACATGCTATTAAAAATCCATTCTCAAACATCTTTATTTTAAAACATGAATTCTCAAATTTATTTCATAAATCATAATTCAAATTAGTTTAATTCAATTACTAATGAAAACATATGAAACATGCTATTCAAACCAATCACTTTCAAAGGTATCTAGCCACCTAAACGTACCTTGATTTCGAATCTCAAATCAACACTTTGCAATTTCAAAATTCAATCACGAATACACTTTGAAATTAATATAACTATAGGGTTATCACAACATCTTTAGATATAAACTCACACTTATATGTGCATGGAGTACAAAGCTCTTTAAAAATAATACTTTAATATAAAATTATAACTTTGAAATAGGTATTTATATTTTAGAAAACTAAGAGCTTTATCAATAATGCACTAGTTCTTAAATTGTAGTTCTTATTTTCTCTCTTATTCCACATCATCAAGAATTTTTATTAATGGTACGTTCTATTCACTTGATTTTTACTTATCTGAACTTATCTGATCTTATATGAACTTATTAGCCCTTATTATTGTTGGGTTTTGCGGTGTCGGACACCACACGAAAATAAAACCCGCAAAAGGATCGCATGCATAATAATTACAATATAACAACATAACATGCAACTAATGAAAGCATAAACACATAAAGGTAAGAGAGAGAAAGAAAGGATAAGAGTAGCTCACCCTTGACGTGTGCTTCGCTCGTATCATGAGCTTGGATTTGGAAAACCTCGAGACTCGCAAGTGCAAGCCCTCCAACATCTCACACCCTCATGCCCGAACCGGCCCCTACCCCGTAGCTTAGACGAGGCTAGACCAAATAAAATTAGAGTTTTACGAACTTAAAGGTTTCTCACTTTAGGGAGATACCATATTAAGTTCAACTCAAGCGAGAAATCCCATTACCCAAGGTGGGTTTTTATAGGGAAATGCTCCCTAAAGTTTCCATCAACTTTCCATGTGGGAGAGTTGTAGAAATGTGAAAATGAATGATTAATTTAATTTCAAATTAAATTAATAATTACAATTCAATTAGTAATCGACAAGTGTCACAAGGCAAAAGGGGAGGGTAGGTGAGGACCACTTGGGAGGACCACACCTCCCTTGCTCCCCAAGGCTTCCCATTACCACTAACTGGCTCCACTAATAAGCGGCTAGCTGGCAGCCCGCCTTGGGCACCAAGGCAGCCACGCTGGCGCCCGGTCCCTCGACTGGCCTTCCTGCACCAGCCGGCAACAACAAGCCGCACATACATGCGAGCTGCTTGTTGCTAGGCGCTGCTATGTTGCGCACCAAGGCTCGGTGCTAGCAGCAGCTCGCTGGTGCTTGGCGTGCGAGCGGTTGGGCGCATCGAGCTTGCAAGCATGCTCGGCCATGCTGGCGTGCCTTGCCTGCATGGATGCTCACCCAGCTCGCCCAGCCAATGCATGCGATGCATGTTGGGCTTGCAGCAAGGAGCTCGGCTAGCCATGTTAGCCCACCTAGCCCTCGTATGGCTAGGCCATTGCGAGGCTAAGACTTTCGCACGCGTTCACTTGTTGTTTGACTAACTTCTTGTCTCGTCGTTCACATAAATTGACTCGACATTCGACGCTCGGCTTCGACGCTCTAAGCTCGGAATTTGACGTCTTAGTTCGTAAAATCTCTTTCGACTATTTAATCATTCGGATTAATTTGTCGCCTTTGTTCGGTTACATGATTGGGTGTGACCCGAAGGGTTCAATTAAGAGCAAGTTGTAATATTAATTATACATTAATATTATTGATCAGAAGCGGCCTCCAGCTAGACATTCCGATCACTTGACCTCACTGAATAATTAGCTTTCCTAATTAGTTCCGAACCCTCTATCTGAATAATACCCTTGTTTGAAGGGCACCATTCCTTTCAATCTCCCACTTGTCCTTCCGGATGTTGTTTGTGTATAGCCTATTTTCTATTAATGCCTCTTCATGAACTATAAGGTTAGGTTCTTCGCCATCCTTATTACGTCCAAAAGTGTTTCTCAATTTCCGAGTTCTACTGTCAATAAGCAGATGATTTCTAAAATCCATCTGAGCACGACCATGCATTTTCACAGTCTCGCTCTTCGAGAGGCCTTGTAAACAACAAAGACATATTCCCTACTGTTAATAGGGGGACATTCCCAGTCTTGCATAGTTAGCTTACCATACTAAGAGGCCCTAGCCACCCGAGTGTTGCCTTTATAATCCCCTTGTACGACAGATGTTTGACAACATCAAAATGGACTAATACTCAAACAAGAGAACTTACAATACTCATGGTTAAGGAAAGAGGTTCCGATAGCCATAATGAGTAATATACTTGTGAAGATTGTTAAATCTCTTAAAGTAATCTCATAGGTCGATTTAGTATAGTTCCAAATTAATAATTGTGCAAATGATTTATGACAATCTTGTCTTTGTAGCACAAGCAACGGTGCTGTAAATCATACTACACACTAATCTCGCGCGGTCATTAGTCGTCCAACTTTCAAATGACCTCGATTAGGGATAGTTTCGATATGATATTCAATGTTCACTTAATAAGTGTTTCTTTATCCAAGACATTGTCTTGATACCTTATTTTGAATATTCTCAAATCGAATGGACTCATTATTTAATTCTAAACCACAATTAAATAGAAATGGAATAAGAATTTGCGAAAAATTAAAATTACTCCATAAATGAATGGTTTAACTTAGTGTTTATCATTAAGATCTCCAAAACTTAATTAAAAACACACAAACAGGGAAATTAAAGCCAGTCTCCGACATGCCTGATTCCCATTGCCTCAATGTGCTTATTGTGTTTCACTTGAAGCAAAGGTTTAGTGAGTGGATTGGCTATGTTGTTGTCCGTTCCAATCTTGTAAATTTTGATTTTACCTTCGGTCTTCCATTCCCTTATCATGTGAAATCGCCTCATGACATGTTTGACTTTCTGATGCTCCCTTGGCTCCCTGGCCTGAGCAATAGCCCCACTATTATCACA